CCATCTCCTACAACCCTGAATACTGACGAGTGTGACATCCCTCCAAGCTACATCATCGACCACTACGACCGCCTCCCCGCCCACATGGTCTTCATCCACCCCCAGCGCTACCAGTGGCACAACGACGACCCGCTCTACGACAACGTCCCCCTCCTCAGGAACCTCCGGCTGCCCTTCCTGGCCCAGCAGGGCTACCTCAACCTCCGCTGCGTCTGGCTGCTTGGCTGCCCCGTCGAGATCCGCCCCTTCACCGACATCCACCGCACGGACGTGCACGCCGGCGCTGCCTTCAAGGCCGGCTTCGAGGCCCTGTTCCCGGGCTCCCCCGTGCCCAGGGAGGTCGGCGTGTCCTGCTGCGCCCAGTTCGCCGTCACCGCCGCTCAGGTACGCAAGCGCCCGAGGTCGGAGTACGAGCATTTCCGCCGCTGGCTTCTCAGCACCCCGCTGCCGGACGAGCTGAGCGGGCGCATCTTCGAGTATTCGTGGCATAGTGCGTTGTCGTATTATCTTTGCTTTCAAGAATATATATATATATATATATATATATATATCGCTGACTGAATACACTTTTTTTATATATAATAGTGATCTTCGGCCGCGACCCCGTCCACTGCCCCACTGCGAGTGAGTGCTACTGCAAGCAGTACGGATACTGCAATCTTTCGTGCAGGAACATAGGCACCTGCGACGGCCGCTACACCATGCCCCCGTTCGCCTCCCTGCCGCGCGGCTGGCCCGATTTCGGCTGGGATGGGAAGCCGCGGCATCCTGGTGATCCGATTCCCGCGCGAGAGCCCCCAAAGCATTTGCAGCAGCCAGTGAGGACGCACCAGCGGCAGCAGCAGCAGCAGCAGCATCCACAGCAGAAGCGGCAGCGAGCACAGCAGCCCGCGACTGAATAACCCGGGAATAGATAGATGGATAGAATATATACATTTCATTTGGTGGTTTTCGGTTTTGTTTTGTTTTTTGCATTTGGTTTTTCTTTTCTTTTCTTTCTTTCTCCTTTTTTTTTTTTTTTTTTTCCCTGGGTAGAAAGGGAGTGAATGTACTTCCCGGTAAGCCAATGTTCCTCTACGTGTATTGTCCTGGCGTTCCCGGCATCTTGGCGTTCCTGGCTACAAGGGGTGGTTGGAATGCAACAAGAATCAACAAACTCACACATTTATGCCTTCGTGGCTATTTTTCCCATCAGCTCTGAATCTCCATCTCCATCTCCATCTCCCCCCAGTCGTGGCTCGTGCATGCATGAACAAATCAGTGAAATCAGTCAATCCCCTCGCAGACAGACAGGCAGCCCGTTTTAACTCAAAAAACAGCTCCAGCATCGTGCTGTTAATTTGTATTGAACGCCTAGCCAGCCATTCTCCCCCCCGTACTCCTCCGCCGCTGCTACGCGGTCTCCAATGGAAGTATCTGTATATATACATATGTATCTCTTTTAAATGTATGCATGGACAGCGGATGATGATGTTGCGAGGAGAGCGGTAAAGTTTCCGCCACGTTTGGTTTTCTTTTGTGGAATGTCAGCCACGTACGGTGGTACAATTTTTTTTTTTTTTTTTTTTTTTTTTTTTTTTTTTTGTATGATAGATATATATATAATCTACTATATTGGTTATGTATATTTATTATTATTGTTGTTGTTGTAGTTGTTGTTAATCGTACACAGCGTATATCCCTTCCCCTATACTCGCTAGAATGCCACGTGACCACGCCTATTTAAGCAGTGCTACAGTGTTACGCGCTGCTAGATTTAGTTACACCTTTTCATCAGAGTTATTAGGGTCATCTTCAGTGCCGTCATATGCTTGGTTTATAGGGTAGCCTAACTAGCCATTTTGGGTGTTCTGGATACGATTGGAAGAGGTGAATGCGAGTCGAGTGCTAATGGACGCAGACGAAATTGGTGAAAATGGATCCAGGTCACACAAAGTTACCAGCATGGATGTATATTAATTAATTGACAAACACATCATATGTCCGTCATGGGCTATGCGGAGCTGGAATCCAAAAGGAAGAGCGGAGTGTTGTTTCTATGTTATTTACCAAGTAACTAACTAACTAACTAGCTAGCAGCCGAACATGCCAGGGCTCTTTAGTTATCCCTCGGCTTGTCGTCAGGTACCTCTCCAGTATCTTTCCATCTCCATCCTCACTTACGACCCAATTCAACCCAACCCAGTCCTCTCCGGGACACCTTCCCAGCCCCTTCGAAGCGCGATAGCGGTATCCACGCATCTCTATCTCTCTCTGTCTATGTCTCTGTCTCTGTCTTTGTCCCCGCCCCTCTCTCCATCCCCTCCCCTCCCCGCTCGAGACGGTCAGGTCGGTTGCTTGGTATATTCATTCCGGGGCGCGCTTGTGGTACGTACTAGTATATCTGCGCATCTCAATGGGCGTGGTGCTGTTGGCAATTCTGTCAGATGAAGATGCCGTGGCCGTGGTGGTGGCTTTCGGTTCGGTTGATTGCTCATCGTTGCTAGGCTTTGCGGTGGTAGGCGTGAAGCGAATAACGACGGCGTCTGGCTTGGGAGGACGAGGATATACATATACATATACATGTGTGTGTGTGTGTGTGTGTGTGTGCGTGTGTGTGCCGTTGACGATTATCAAATTGGATAAACCCCCTCCAATTGATCGCCATCCACCGCTCGAAATAACTACCAGAACGGGCCCAACAACTTCCCCTCCTTCCTCGGCATCCTTACCCCCAACCTAAGCCAACTCGGTTCCTAAAAAATTTACATTCCCCCCACAATGCTCCTCATCGGCCTAACCGGCTCCATCGCCACCGGCAAATCCACCGTATCCGCCCTCCTCTCCGCCCCGCCCTACAACCTCCCCATAATCGACGCCGACCTCCTCGCTCGCAAGGTCGTCGAGCCCGGCACCCCCGGCTACCGCGCCATAGTCGATTACTTCGGCCCCACAACCCCCGACCTCCTCCTCCCAGACGACCCCGACGACCCAGATGACAAACACAAGCCAAAAGCAACAACCCAAGCCCACGGCCGCCCCTTGAACCGCCCCGTGCTCGGCCGGCGAGTCTTCGGCGACACCGCGGAGCGCAAGCGCGACCGCGCCGTGCTCAACCGCATCGTCCACCCGGCCGTTCGCTGGGAGATCTACCGCGCGCTGCTCCGCCACTACCTCCGCGGCCACTGGGCCGTGGTGCTGGACGTGCCGCTGCTCTTCGAGAGCGGGTTGGATGCGCTGTGCGGCACCGTCGTCGTGGTGGGCGTGTCCGACGCCGCGGTGCAGGTGGCGCGGCTGCGAGCGCGAGACGCGCATCTGAGCGCGGAGGATGCGGAGGCCCGCGTGAAGAGCCAGGGCGACGTGCGGGGGAAGGTGGCGCGGGCGGAGGCGCGGGGGGGCCTGGTGGTGTGGAATGATGGGGACCGCGCGGCGTTGGAGGCGGCGGTGCGCGAGGCTATGCGCACGGTTGCGGCGACGAGTCCGCAGTGGTGGGCGTGGGTGCTGCTGCTGGTGCCGCCGCTGGGGGTGGCGGTTGCGGCGTGGAATTTGGCGGTGAATTATCGCGGGAGGCGGAGGTGGGAGGAGGCGGAACGCGTGCGGCGGGCGAAGCTGTGACGTTAGTCCTTGTGTACCTTTTTAGACTGTGGTGTATTGTTATCTATGTATTAGTGCGTTGCTGTTTCCTCGCACGATAATATTGTGTTTGGGGTCGTTGTGTAAGCTATTGTGTTATTGTGTGAATATTGGGTATATTGATTGATTCGCCCGCATCTACCGTTTTTATAACTCTCTTGCAAAGCTCGTAGTAAGACAATACAGTTACTAGTCTATCCTACTCCTACCCTACACAAGACAAAAAAAAAAAAAAGCTCAAGCCAACGCCACTCCATATCCCACAAATACCAAATACCCCATCCATCCATCCAACACCGCACCCTGAGTGCCGAACGAAACGCACAGACAGCATTAACGAACAGAACAACCCCCTCCCCCCAGGAACCACAAGAAACGCAGCTCATTTCAACGCCCCCTCCCTCCCTCACAGCGCAAATTCACCTCCCCCTTTCCCTCCCCTTCCCCCTTCCCCTTCCGAACTCCGCCTTCCCGCCTCCACCCTGCTGGTTCTGCGCCCGCTTGTGCGGCTGCTTCTGCTGGTTTTGCGCCCGCTTGTGCGGCTGCTTCTGCTGGTTCTGCGCCCGCTTGTGCGGCTGCTTCTGCTGCTGCTGCCGCCGCTGCTCCCCCCTGTCGACGCCGCCGGATATACTCGTCAGCCGGCTGAGATCGACGACCCTGTCGCCGCCGCCGCCGCCGGCGGATTTGCGTTTCTTGTTGCTCTTGTTGTTCTTGTCGTTGTGTGGGTCCCAGCGCGTGTTGTTGGGTGCGTTTTTGTTTTTGTGCCTGTTGGTGTTTGTGTTTAGAAGGGCGGAGGGGTCGGAGGGGCCGGGGGTTCTGGTGCCGTGTTGGTGGTTGTAGTTATCGTCGTCGTCGTCGTCGTCGTCATTGCTCTTGTTGTCTTCATCTACTCTGTCGACGTCAGCGTCTGTGTCCGCCCCCGCGTCCGCGTCTGCATACGCACCGTGCGAGCGAGTTGCTGGGGTCCCTGCTACCGCAATAGAAATATGGTTAGAACGAGAATAG